AACAAAGTTATAATACCCTTGTGCACAAGTGCGCTCGGGTATAAAAATTCTAAAAACTAATGTTTTTACGCCTTTAAATACAGATTATATATAAAAAAATATCGTTCACATCCTTTCAGTAGTTTTGAAGATTACCGCGTTCAAAAAATCTCGACCTTGCTTTATTATAATTATTATTAAAAAGCATAGATTTGTCCTTTGTTTACTATTGTGCGTGTGTTTTGCTTCTGCAACTTTTTAAGAAATATTTTAATATTATGAATACGAAATTTTTCCAGTCTAGCGAACAAAGGGTTTGGTAGATTGCAATCCAACCCGATAATCAACAATTGAACATAATTTATTATTTTGTGCATTTAAATGCTATAGTAATATTTCTGCATCAAGAAGAAAAATTTGAAAAAAAAAATTTAGCTTACATATTTTTGGCAGTTGGAGCTCGATATATTTGAATAAAGTTTTAATACATAATACGACATCTCAAAAATGTTCAGCAAACAAACCTACTAATGCCGATTCGCTGCTCATTTCCTCAAACCTAAATATTGACACTCGGTGACACGTTTTTAAGTTATTCAGTTTCATATCAATTTCAAATATATGAATATGTACGTGTGGATATACTTATGCATACATACATGCTATAAATATACATATATAGTGTCATTAAAATTCAAAATATGGTTGTTTACCAAAATTAATTATTTATGCTCATTTCTCTCTATTTCAAATACCAGGCCAATTGTGTGTATTGGTTGGCTGCAAATATACCAAATAATCTACTAATTTATATGCATATGACTTTGAGAGCAATTACCAATAAGTATTCGTTACTATATATACATATGTATTCATTTGAACATAAATACATATATATCTATTGTTAAATATATTAAAATGTCTATAGCCATCTATTTGAATGGTTTGACTTACGATTTGAAGTTGTGGATTTAAGGTTCAAAAATAAACAAGTGCAATGATTTTTTTTGTTTTGCTCACAAATTTTATAACTACATACATACATATATGTATACACATTAACATAATTTAACATATATAATTAAAATTTTTCAGTTGATCATTGAGCTGTGCCAAAAACTCCTCACATCCCCTTCCCTTTCCGCTCCGTTAGTTTGGGAAAATATGTTTTTAAATTATACGAAAAGCAATGGTAAACAACTTTTTCAAATCCTCTGGTACTTTTTCATTATTTGCTCAGCTTAGTCAAATGCTGTTGGTCCGATTCCCATCACCTCCAAATTTTTGAAATTTGGTGCACAGTGTGATGGCTTTGGTTTCACGAAAATCCAAAAATATCCAATTGTCAATATCCGTTATGCTTTACTACAACTTAACTTGAAAAAAAGTTTCAGACGCATATTTTTTTACATAAAAGTTTTCTAAAACACTCGCCGCCAGATATTAACAATTTCCATGGAACTTAATAACAATTCTTTATTTAAGAGACATGCAAAATTGCTCCCTTTTATACGGAGGTACGTATATTTATATGTAAGCTTTAGCTCATGCTTGCCGGCCGTATGGCTTAGTAGTTATAGGTGTGCTACCATTTCGTAGGTCCTGGACTTGATCCCTGGTACGCACAACATCTGAAATCAGAAAAATTGCTTTCTAACAGCTCGGCAGCCAAAGACAAACCTCCGAGTTTTTTTCTGCCATTAAAAAGAGCTTCTCATAAATTCCATTTGTCTATCGGAGGCGGCGTAAAATTGTAGATGAAACCCTTATTTTACTCTACAAACGTATAAATCAAAGGAGTATAAATTTCTAGTAGAACTGCGCACGATCGGGGCTAATAAGAGCAGCAAATATATGTTTCAGGGCCTCTTATGACCCAGATAGGATTGTAAGCATTTATATTTAAAAAAATAAAACTGTGTTGCATCTTGCGATTTAAATAGGACTTCCCTTTCGAGTCAAAAGACTGCGATTTTTCCTTAATACCTGTCTAGCGCTTATTCTTACTAGGAGTACAGTTGAGGTATCTCAGTTTTCGAACTATTGCTGCTTGAAAAAAAAATAAAAGATATGGAAGCAATTCGAGAGCCGCGATTGGACTAGTTCGCATTGATCTTGAAACCGAGGGCGAAACGCAATTTCGAAATTTATGTATTGAAATTTTTAGTAAAGGGTTTGGACACCAAACTATGAGGACCCTACACTGAGTTTTGTTTGGGTGAGATATGAAACCTAGTCAGAGTATTCAAGTAGTTATTTTGCCTTTACTGAGCAAAAACAAAGTAAAAAAAAAAATAGCCGCTGCTTTTTGAGCAAAGAGCTGCATGTATTTCAACTGCATTTTTGTTTTAATTTTGACGTCCTTCCAGGAAATGCAAGAAAAGGGAATTTATTTACATCAATTTTTACTTTTTCGCATAACTCATACGCATTGCTGAGCATTTTAGACTAGTTATGCACCTTATTGTCTATGCGTATGCGCAGTTTTGAGAATGTACTAGGCTATTTACTTAACTAAAGCATAGCTTAATATATGTATGTATATGCGGAGATTATAGTTCCATGTCTAGGCATACATATTTATTTATTTACGTACGTATTTAATTTGCACTAGAACAAATTAAATATAAAACAGTATCCATTTATTTTAGAAACAATTAAAATACACTCACGCACAATACTTCACTCATCTGAACTCACCTTTAGTCAACATATTAATTCACTGTTAACTATACTGTTATCCACTGCCTACACACACACACTAGCCCTTTCACAGTTAAAGCACACAATGTCCATTTGCTGATACATATTTACGTATTTACTATATCTATGTATGTGTAAACTTATTTAATGATTTGTATGTTGCTTAGTCCGCCATTCTAGCCTGTCGAGATTGATATTTTGCCGGTTTCTGTATGTGGGTGTGTACGTTTGAATTTTATTGTTGAGAATTTAGCAGCCTGTCGTGCGTAGGACAGTTGACATTTGTCAACTGCATGTTGGCTGTCATCTGTTAAATGCTGCGCGTGACATGTGTTCATGTATTTGTGCACACATTATGCTACATATACATACATACATATGTATGTACATGTGTGGGCGAGAAAAGTTTTGTTGTCCAGTTTGCTTTGCTCTCACATATACATTTGTATGCCAATAGTTGTTTGTATGTACATTAGGGTGGTCCTTAAATGTAGAAAGCAAATTTCTTTTATCGGATTACCCCTACGTCGATGGTGCTATGGTTGAAAGTTTCAGATATAAATTTTGGTTCCGATTGGCGACGGTTAAGGCGTGGCGCACAGGAGTAAAAATTCAGATTACCCTATGAAGACGTCTGAACCGACTGCAATCGGGACCAAAATTTATATGTGATATCTTCGACTGCGGCAGTATCGATTTTGGGTATGAGTTTTCAAAACAACTTATTTGAATTTTTTGAGTCTCCATGGAGAAATCTGAACTTTGGCTCCTGTGCGATACGCCTTAACCGTCTCCAATCGGGACCAACATTTTTATGTGATATTTGTGACCGCGGTATTACCGATTGAATAATTTTTACCAATTAAGGACCACCCTAATGTACATACAGACAGACATATATACATACATACATACATATGCACGTATGTATTTGTATTGCGTGTATTTGACAATTGCTTGCTGATGAATGATGCATTTGAGTTGCGGTTACTAATGCGTCGCCCTTAAATGTTGACTAAACTTAAGTAAATAGCAACAAAATGCTCGAAAACCCAATTGAAAGGTTGTCTAATATAGTGACTTTGATTTTTGGTTTGATTTGAGGTTTTAGTTAGTTTAGAATTATCTAATGGCACTGAAACGTTGGTGTTTATAAATACAAAATAAAATAACTAACGGAAAAACTTAAAGCTGCAATAATCTAGAAATTAGACGGTTTTTGGTTAAAGAAATACATATAGGTGGGTTCATATCGATATTTTCTTTTAAGTCAAAATCCGTTAAACACTAAATCGTTAAGTAGTCGGGGATGCTCTATACTTCCAGTTTTGACCGGAAGTAGGTTAAACTAACTGTAAGTGCATTTTTTTTTATTTAGTCCATTTTAGAAAAAGGTTTCAGGCAAAAGTAATGTATTTTTGTTTGCACAATCCGAATTTGTGGTGAAAACTTGTATGCCTTATACAAAAATGGTTTACCGGTCAGTTCAACCCACATCCGGGCACAAACTGAAGTCGGTAATACGACTAAGAGATAGAGCATTCCCGGCTTCGTGATTATTATTTTTCTCATTTTTCGTTAAACACATTTTCGTCCATTTTGGAAGTCCAGGACGAGTTGAAGTTCGAAGGCGATTTAGGGTTGGAAAAAGGGCACTTCCAAGAAAAAAATTTCAAACAATAGTTAAAGCAACCATTCTTAATTTTTATAGATCTTTTATTATAAATGCAAACGCTTTCGCACATGTCTAGAATAATAATTAGCCAAAATTTGGAATCGAACACACACCATTTTCTAAGTACACGCCTCACCCCTACACTATGTAGCAGTACACAGAGCAATTATCAATCTTGTTAGTTTAGCAAAACTCCAACGGCAAGAAATCAAACACACCTACAAATGTATATATGCACTTAAAAAGAAGTTCCACATTTAATGCAATACATTTTTATTTTCATTTTTCTCACACTTTCCACTGCTACATTTTACTCTGCTCGCACTCCCACAATTTTGTCGCTGTACTCTATTGCGGACAAATTAACGGAAATCACAAATTTCGTGCAAAACCAACAACGCAATTGCCCTGCCGCTGCTCAATATTGCAACATTTAAATTTTGCCATCCTCTCCTTAAACCAATAACCGCACAACTCGCGACAACAACTACATGCATGCAACAACGAATCATTACCGCGCACATCCGGCTACATACATACAGAGCGTCGACTCGGATGTCGGTTCGTTGAACATGATTTCAACGGAGAACGAAGTTCCTGAGGTGGAATCATCGAGTGAAATTCTGGCCGATGACAACAAGCCAACCAACTCGAATGACGAAAGCTGGACAGATGTCAATTTGAATGAGGATGCGAGTGTACAGGCGACCGCAGGTGGTTTATTGTCAGGTGGCATGTCGGCGGTAGATGCGAAAATGCGTAACATCGACAGCCTGCAGCACCAAGCACACCA